GCTAATTTTTTTATTTATTGTAGAGACAAAGGTCTCACTAAGTTGCCCAGGCTGGTCTCGAACCCATGGACTCAGGCAATCCTCTCACCTCGGTCTCCTGAAGTGCTCGGGTTACAGGTGTGAGCCACTGTACCTGGCCCCACCTGCCTCCTCCATCAGCAAAATCCCTTTATCACGTGAGACACTCGAAGCTTGTCACCAACAGGAAGGACGAGGTTAGGGTGGATGTTTCTTGGGGTCTCTCTCCACTGTTTCCCTGAGGATGCACATTGTCAGAACTCAGCTGAGAGAGGATCCCGAGGAGGACTGGCCTTTTGGTCAGCGTCCATTCCAGCGTCTGACAGCCGAAGTGAGTGAGGGCTTTTGCCTGGACCAGCGCATTGGAATCATCGCCACATCAGCAACGTCTGAGCACACGTCCCGGGCCCACAGCCTGGGAGGCCTTCTGAGCACTCAGGATCAGCCTCCCGGGATCCAGGCCTCAAGAGCCACTCGGTCAGGCAAAGCAAGGCCAGAGCACAAGAATCTGTCACATGAGGCCCAACGCTTCCCTTTAATAAGAAATAAACAAGCCAGTCTCAGTGGCTCAGCCTATAATCCTGCGCCTTTGGGAGGCTGAGGTGAGTGGGATTGCTGAGCCCGCGGGTTTGAGACCCGCCTGGGCAGCGAGACCTCATCTCTACAATAAATCAAAAAATCAGCCAGGCGTGGTAGCGCATGCCTGTAATTCTGGCTATTCGGAAGGCTGAGGCGGAAGGATCGCTGGAGCCCAGCAGGTTGAGGCTGCGGAGGCCGGGAGTGGCCACTGCACTCCAGTCTGGGCGACAGAGTGAGACTCCAACTCAAAAAAAAGCAAAGAAAAAAAAAATAAACAGGCCAGGCTCGGTGGCTCAGCCTGTAATCCCAGCACTTTGGGACGCCGAGGTGAGTGGATTGCCTGAGCCCACAGCTTCGAGACCAGCCCGGACAACTTGGTGAGACCTTGTCTCTACAATAAATAAAATTAGCTGGGCGTGGTATATGCATGCCTATAGTTCTGGCTACTTGGAAGTCTGAGGCAGAAGGATCGCCTGAGGTCGACTCTGGGGTGGTCGTGAGTGATCCATTGCACTCCAGTCTGGGGCAACAGAGTGAGACTCCACCTCAAAAAAGAAAGAAACGGCTATAAGCCTGGGCAACATAGTGATACCCCATCTCTATTAAAAAAAAAAAAAAAAAAAGCCAGGCTTGGTGGCTCAGCCTGTAATCCCGCACCTTG